CAGCTCAGACCACCGACACTTTTTAGAGTCCTGGAGGAAGTGCTGGAGTGCGCGCCTTCTGGTGACTCCCTCATTCTGCTGGGAGAATTTAACACTCATGTAGGCAACTACAGTGAGACCTGGAGGTGTGGTGGGGAGGAACGGCCCCCTAATTTGAACGTGAGCGGTGTTTTGTTATTGGACTTCTGTGCTCGTCATGGATTGTCCATAAGTAACACCATGTTCAGACAAAGTTGTCCATATGTGCTCTTGGCACCAGGATACCTTAGGCCGCAGCTCGATGATCCACCTAGTTGTCTTTCATCTGATCTGCGGCTGCATGTCTTGGACACTCGAGTGAAGAGAGGGGTGGAGCGTTCAACTGACAACTACCTGGTGATGAGTTGGCTTCGATGGTGGGAGAGGATGCCAGTCAGACCTGGCTGGCCAAACGTATTGTGAGGGTCTGCTGGGAACGTCTATCAGAGTTTCCTGACAGAAGAAGTTTCAATTCCCACCTCCAACAGACTTCCAAAATGTTCAGAGGGAGGCGGGGCATCTTGAGTCTGACTGGGCCATGTTCTGTGCTTCCATTGTTGAGGCGGTCAACCGGAGCTGCGGCCGCAGGGTTGTCTGTGCCTGTCGTGGTGGCAACCCCCGAACCCGCTGGTGGACACCAATGGTTAGGGATACCGTCAAGCTGAAGAGAGAGTCCTATAGGGTCTTTTTGTCCTGTGGGACTCCAGAGGCAGCTGATGGGTACCAGCATGCCAAGTGAAATGTGTTCACATGGGCAAAAACGTGGGAGGAGTTCATTGAGACCATGGAGCAAGACTTCCGTACGGCTTCGAGGAAATTCTGGTCTACCATCCGAGACTTCAGGATGGGAAAGCAGTGCTACCAACACACTGTTCATAGTGGGGACGGCGTACTGCTGACCTCTACTCTGGACGTTGTGGATCGTGGGTGGAGTTCTTCAAAGATCTCCTAAATCCCACTAGCACGTCTTCCAGTGAGGAAGCAGAGTCCGAGGACTTTGGGTTGGGCTCTTCGATCTCTGGTGCTGAGGTCCGCCCAGAGTTCCTTAAGGCTCTGGCTGAGATGCATTTTCTAGTTAGGGTTAGTTTCAGTTATCCTGGCATCTGCTGAATTTCCTCTCCGTGTTTGTATGGGTTGCTGCTTTCATTAACTTTGTTCTTTTTTACAGACAACCATCCCTGCAGGGTTGTGTTGGCTGATGCAGCTCTGCAATATCGCATGGACATCGTGGGTCGTTCCACTGGACTGGCAGACCAGGGTGGGAAGGGAACAACAGGGTGTGTTCCTACTACAAGGGGATCACACTCCTGAGCCTCCCTGGTAAGGTCTATTCAAGGGTTCTGGAGAGGAGGGTCCGATGGATTCTCGAACCTCAGATTCAGGAGGAGCAATGTGGTTTTCATCCTGGCCCGTTTTGTGGATTTGGAGAAGGCTTTCGACCGCATCCCTCGGGGGGCTCTTGGGTGGGAGGGTACTTCAGGCGTACGGGATACCAGGCCCTCTGATATGGGCTGTTAGGTCGGTAGGAAGTCGGGCTCGTTTCTGGTGAGAGTTGAACTCCGCCAAGGCTCCCCTTTGTCCCCGATTCTGTTCGTAACTTTTATGGACAGGATTTCTAGGCGCAGCCAAGGTGTTGAAGGGATCTGTTTTGGTGGCCTAAGGATCAGGTCTCTGTTTTTTGCAGATGATGTGGTCCTGTTGGCTCCATCAGAACGTGATCTCTCACTGGAGAGATTTGTAGCTGAGTGTGAAGCAGCTGCGATGAGAATCAGCTCCTCTAAATCTGAGACCATGGTCAAGGATGAGGTCCTGTCCCAAGTGGAGGAGTTTAAGTTTCTCGGGGTCTTGTTCACGAGTAATAGAAAGATGGAACGCAAGATTCTACAAGCAGATTGGTGCTGCGTCTGCAGTGATACGGGCGTTGTACCGGTTTGTCGTGGTGAAGAGAGAGCTGAGCCGGAAGGCAAAGCTCTCGATTTACAGGTCGATCCCTCATCTATGGCCACGAGCTTTAGGTAGTGACTGAAAGAACAAGATCGTGGATACAAGCTGTCAAAGAGAGTTTTCTCCGCAGGGTGTCTGGGCTCTTCCTTAGAGATAGGGTGAGAAGCTCAGTCATCTGGGAGGGGCTCGGAGTAGATCAGTTGCTCCTCCACGTCAAGAGGAGCCAGTTGAGGTGGCTCGGGCATATGGTCAAGATGCCTCCTCGATGCCTCTCTGGGGAGGTTTTCCAGGCACATCCATCCAGGAAAATACCTAAAGGAAGACCCAGGACATGCTGAAGAGACTGTCTTACAGCTGGCCAGGCCTTAGGATTCCTCCGGAGGAATTGATCTAGCTCAGATCAGAGCTAAAATCGGAAAAAACATCGACACAGCCTACGCTAGTTTGAGGAAGCTAAAGGCTACAAAATCATGGACCGATGGTGACCTGGCTTTGTTGCTACTGGACTTGTAAGTAATAATATTTTTGTCCAACAGTGTGTATCTTTTTACTTTGTGGCTTATTTTAGTATTAGTTGGCGTGTGTTAGTGTTAGCTTATTGTTAGCGCTAGCTACAGCAGGCTGCTGAAGGGTTGTTTACGACAGTGGTAATGACACTTTCGACCAGTGGGGTGGAGGAGCAGATCATTCTTTAGTGTTACTTTAAAACAGCTCCGTCTCCCACTGGTATATGCAGCATTCTTTTAGAACCCCAAACTGTTCTAGTTGTGATACTTACCAGTGTTAGAAACCACCAGTTTCAGCTAAATATAGCACCTTTGGTGCATTCAGGGGTCAAGGCCCTGTATAATGTGAAATCAACGATTTAAAGCTTTAAAAGTAAAATTTGAACAATTTGCTCAAAACATTAGAATATTGAAGCATTGTAAAAACTCCATAATGGATTGCTGCCACCTTAAATCAGCTCAAATCTTGTATATTTTCCTGCAAATTTTAAAATCTGATTATGATTTATAATGTATCTAGTAATTCTAAGTATTATAAATAATGCGGCATGAGCCAACATAAACAATGACAATTTAGAGATCAGAGATGTTTAAGATAACAGAAATACACTTTGGTTATGGCTGGCTCAGACTAGTCATTAGCTTATCAATCATGTTCAACAACAAATCAATTTCCTCAAACCAAGGCTGTTCAGGCAGCTATCTAAAACAGGTAAGAAAGAAAGTATTTATACTTTTTACACATAAACACTCTTTAAAATGTTCAAAATATCCCTCCAGTGTGTTTATAGGTGTAATTTTGAACCATAAACTTTATTTATAACCCCTCTCTGTCCTGCGTCGGTCCATGGTATATTCTCCATTTCCCACAGAAACACACAAGCCTTCACTCATGACTCTGGGCTTTAATTAAGTGAGTGTTTGTGTAGCGTATAATGGTAGTTTAGTTTAGCCAAAGGAAGCAGCTTATTAAAAGCGATTACATCTCAAAACACACACACACACACACACACAGAAAGAGGTCTTTCTATACTCTGACCTAAAGTTACAACCTCAGAGTTGCTGCTGAGGTCACTATTTAACTTATAATCTCTCTGTAATCACCGCGTGTGCACTATGGGACTCTAATAATAGGTGATCTGGTTCAACAGGTTGGTGAGCAGGCTTTTGAAGGGAGTGACTCAGATTTGTGTTTCACCTGTCTGGGAATGGCTCCGTGGTACCAAGCGTGACTCCTGGGCTCCTCACCGCTCATCTTCAGCTCCTCCTCAAGCTCTCTGCGAAGCTTCTCGACAGAACAGTCCAGGATGAACTGATCTCTGGAGAACTGGAGAAAAACGGTCGGTTTTTAGCGCGAGTCGGAAGTGGGTTAAACAGATTTGATTGAATAGTTTCTGTCGGTGAAGTCTGTTAAGGATGACTACACACTGTAAATACGATTTTGTTCTTCAAATAAAAAAATGTGTTAAACCGAAACCTAAACATTTAATGTTGTTTTATGTCTAAAAAAATCTTCTTTATCCTCTCGAGTCGTCTCAGATTTACTTCACCACCAGAAACTTTGAACCAATGTTAGGTTTCTATTATCCGACATGAGTTTAGAAGCTGTTTTAGACACATTTTCACTTGTTGTAGGCAAAACAAACTCTTAGAAAGAGGATTTTAATGAGTCATCTGTTGAACATTATTATGTAACATTAAAGTACAATAAACCAAATGTAATCCAAAGAAATTCCCATTAAAGCCTTCTGCTAATCCACTGGTCAATATTTTCATATAAATTCCTGACAATCAAGTTCACTAAAAGCTTTTGTCCACACAAACAGTTTAATTTGACTCCTTTTGCATCATCATTTCACCCACAAGGCTGTCTTTACTTTCACTTCATGCTCTATATGAAATCTTTTATTTGTCATATAATTTAATTGAGGAAAACCTGCACAAGACAGTTTTAGAGATGCACCGATTCTGGTGCTGGAGGCCGATACCGCTTTCAGATCCTTGTACATCTTAACCCGATACTGATTTATTTGAATTAATTTGAAAGTCTGGAATATTCTGGAACTAAAAACTTGTCAAGTTCAACAGACACAAAAGGATTTTTCTAAAATTATTGCTTAATGGTTACTGTCATAAAAAATCAGATTCCTGCATTTTAGACCAAGCCGTTCATGTAGATGTAAGCTGATTCAGAGCACCAGTGGATCATGAATCATGAAAATGTTCAGCAGTCACAAATAATGCATTGAAGTGAATAATGGGGACTCACTTTCAGTATAAAGCATGGTGGTGGTAGTGTTATGGTGTGGCATTTCTTATTGTTCGCTACCTGGTCAAATATGCATGACTGTGTGTCATCAACAAAACATAGCATCAAACAGCACTTCCAGGGCAGAAAAAGCAACACTAAGCCAATTATTTTATATGCACGGGGATTTTTCACAGGCTTTAACAGAATTATCAAGCAAAACTTAAAGCTTAAGGTCATCCAGAACCTCCACAGAAGACACTGTTCCCATTTCAGACCCAACTGATAAAACCAGCAAAAACAAAAGGTTTGACACAAAATATTTGATAAACAAGTGAAGGACAGAACATCAAGTCACAAGATGTTGAGCCAACACAACCGCCAGCACCACAATCAGACACCAAACACTCTTACATGACAGCTGCTGGGTCTCTGCATCGTTTCCTCCATCTTTCTGATTCCTGCAGACCGACGTGGCGGTTTTAAATCTCTAAACACACACAAACCGTCTTCTCACACCATCTCTCAGCTCCGCAGTGACTTTGTCCTCTCTCGCTCGGCTTCACCTTAACGTGACATCATCAATCTGACACCGCCCACCTGCCTGGACCTGCCTCCGCACACACCCTCACCCGACATTCATAAACACAAATGCATGAGTGACGCAAGCACTTCCCCGAAGTCTGCCTTATTCACACCTGTCACTGAAAGTTTCAGCTTAATGCAAACAGGAGGCTGGAGTCCAGACTGAAGACTTTTGTCTGAATGTTTTTGACTCGTCGTAAACTTTTGTCACAGATTCTCACCAAACCACGTCTGGCTTTAAAGCCTGCAGATGGAGCACCAGGATGAGTACTTTCATCAGAAACCTGCCATATCCAGTCCTATTCATGTCTGCTGCCCTCTGGTGGAGGATCTGCAGTTGGGAAGGGCCAATTTTATTTATTCTTATTTTATAAAGACAATAACGTTTCAGTTTTAAAAACTAGATGCTTCTACTATTGTAATTTAATGTTTAACTTTTTTATTTTATTATGCAGTTTGGTGATATCCACTCATGGTCCCAGTGGGCCCTGTCCAGCATATTTTAGTGGTTTTCCTACTCCAACACACCTGATACAATGGTCACATCACCAGGTCAGCAGCTCATTAAGCTTAGCAGAAGGCTGTTAATTACTCACTGATTAAATAGGTGTGGTGGAGCAGAGAAACCGCAAAACATGAAGGATGGTGGCCCTTGAGGACCCAATCTGGACACCATTGATGTCATTTAACAATAAAATAATATTGAAAAAAGAAAGCATGTATCGGTAGCTGTACTGAGATTATCCACTAGAGGGAGCTGACTTTTGAGGAAAGAGTTAACTCTGATAAAAAGAGAGTTCTTTGCATTCGAGGGTTAAATACCACAGCTCCTGAACTGGAACGAAACATGAAAACCAAAACCTGCCTAAAAGAAGAGTTCAGAGCTGAGGAAGGACCCGCACTGTTTCACCCTAAAGGAATAACATAAGTCACATCCATGCTGGACAAGATGGATGCTTTTGCATCATCTCATCTCTGTAACTCTCCCCGTCTTCGTGTTGCTGAGCTTTGTTTCGTTTTCGATATTTTCCCTCAGATCGTTCTTGCTAAAGTCGTTAGAACGGACTCTGACAGAAAATCAGCCTATCGTGTTTCAGCTTCAGCACAGAAAAAGTCCAACCTACGGCAAACCGGGATTCATCCACTGATTCAGTTATTTCCAGCTTAGACCAGAACCACCGACCGGCAGAACATGTCTTTCATCATTTGTGTGTGTGTGTGTGTGTGTGTGTGTGTGTGTTGGTGCTGGAGCGCTTTCCCTCTGCAGCACGTCCCTCCGCCTGCAGGGATCTCATGGAATCAGGTTTCCCGTATCATCATGAGTCACGAAGTTACAACACACGAAATCTTAAAAAAAAAAAAAAAAAGATTAAAAAAAATCTCGACTTCCTCTTGAAAGTTGAAATCACGTATTTTCTCGTTAATGCGTTTCTTTTAACATATTACGTAACTCTGCCCTTTCCCGCCTACAAAACTGAACGCTGCTAAAGCACCTTAACGTCACGGTGTGACGGCGACCCCGACCTGACCTTTGGGAGGAATCTGTGTTTGGCTTGAGGACACAACGTGTGTGCAGCAGGGTCCTGATCCCGCTCTGTTATACAGGATCGAAGTGGGAGGTGGGATTACCTGTTGGTTGTATCAGTTTCACTTTTGTTTCATTGATCATCAGCTCTGTCGTTCTGAGGGCTGTGGGTCATTTTTAACCCCGCAGGAGACGGTTTATCTGGTATTGCTGACACTCGCGCCGTTCTGCTTCTCATCTGAGCAGACTCCCAGCAGATGGAGGAGTCGGAGTGACGACGCGAGGACGGATGAGTGTTAAGGTCACCCGGCCTTCATAAAGAGATGAGCAGAGACGGAGGGAGAGAATGACGGGTCATGGACAGTTCATGTTCGGAGTGAAGAGATCTTTGATGAAGGGTGGAAAGGTGTGAGAAGAAGGAAGGATGTGAGATAATCCCAGGAAGAGAAAATATTAGGAGATGATCAAAAGGAGGATTTCTTTACGTGCTGAAGTGAATCTGTGACTTATTTCCTTTCCAAGCCTCGTTTGTTTCTCTTCCTTTGGTAAAATGTGTTATTTTAAGCACCTTTGAGGTGAGATGGGACTGGGCTGCTGTAGCTGGGGAGAAGATCTGAGCGGAGTTCCCCAGGGAGTTTCCAAACTGGTTAATGGGACTGAAGCTTTGTTTTTAATGGAAATTTGGGATGCTTGTTTTACCCTCATGAAGGTAAAAAGTCCAGGTGTGCATCTGAATTCGGTCTCTCTTTAGTTTCTGAGTCACAACGAATGTGAGACACCTTTGAGAGCGATGTTGGTAACCCAGGAAAGCAAGCGTTTAGTCTGACTAGTGGCCCAGTGAGATGTTTAGAGGCTTTAATGGACTGAAAGTTCACAAATACATTTGTTTTCATGAACAACTAAGACTGGAATTTCACATCATCACAAACATCTGAAAAAACTCATTTCAGTCATATAAAGTAGTGATGGGAATTCCGGCTCTTTTTAGAGAGCCGGCTCTTTCGGCTCCCAAGTGGCTCCTCAGATTTTCTGTTGCGTAGAGTCCATTTATAACCAAAATAATGCTAAACTATATGTAAAATGATTGACTAATGTAAAAAAATGCAATATATCAAATATTTATTATTTCTATGGATTTAATAACTGAACACTAAGAAATCTCAACTTTCCGACTGCTGGCGCTCATTTTCTCACCGTCTTCGTCGCACTCTCCTCTCTCTCGCTCGCCTTTTTCCTCCTCCTCATTCCCTCTCGTCTCCCTCCGCCCGCATGTGCTCTGCTGTGTGTCTGAGTCTGATCCTCCCTCTTCCCCGCCCCTACTGCTCTGTGTGTGGACAGTCTGGACACACAGTTACACCGGTTGACCAATCGCCTGTGGCTTTCACCAAAGCAAGAGGGGGAGGGGAGGGAGGGGACGGCTCCCAATGACGAGCCGGCTCCCGTCGTTCACTTCACAGAGTCGGCTCTTGGAGCCGGTTCGTTCGCGACCGACACATCACTAATATAAAGTTAGTGACATTTCTCAATTGTTCTGAAGTATTTTGAACAAAAACATTTGCTAATCGTAGAAAAAGGAGCAACTGAATGATGATTTAATTATTTTACTCTACATGAATATTAACATTAAGTATTTAGGTGAACATTCACTTTAAACCTTCAGCTGGAAGGATGTTCAAATGTTAAATGTTAGCCTAAAATCTCAGCTGCCAATAAAAAGAATTACCCACAGGTCTAAACCAATGGTGTGGGCTTTGGTAACTGCATCATGTTATACAAGAAATGATTTATTTTTGCTTCCCGTTTCCAGATTTCTGATTTAAAACCTCTTCGTTTCTATGGCGATCCAGTCTTCTGTCGCTGCACCAATGAGGAGCACCGCAGGCTAATCTGCTTCTGCTGTAAGTTCAGTTGGGTTTAGACAAAAGATGTTTTGATGCTTTGATTTCTCATCATCCTACAGAAATGCACA